TGCCGTTTCTAGGTCGTCCAAAGTCAAAGCTTCCGTCTCGTCCGATTCGTGGAGGAATTCGATCAGATTGATTGGTGAATTTGGCCGTAAGGATTCCTCTGCCCAATGTTCCAGCAGTCTTTCTACCAAATCCTTCACGGCTGTTGCCCCCTCCTCTTTAGTGGCCTTGTCTGTCATCTAAAGGCTGGTGAGGTCGATCAATACTTCGCGCGCTGAATCCTATCGAATATTCTCGGCGCCTAACTCCAGCACTTTCTGGGCCGTTGTTCTAGTTGGTCGGCCGTTTGCATCGTGGCCGGTGAGAACAACCCATCCAACGTCGTCGTCGTAGATCCGAGCTTGTACGGCGTTGGCCTCGAAAGGCTTTTCATCGGCCGGGTGTATAGACACCTTCTGGCCGTCCCAAAAGAATAATAGCTAGAAGAGAGAGGACGGTATACACCCAGACTGATGGATCCAATCGCGGCCAAGCAGTATGTTGTAGTCGACGCTGGATTCGACCACGTAGAAGGCCGCGACCCTTGTCTGGTCGGCCACGGTAATCTTTAAGGGCAATACGCCAATGGTCTTAGACTTGTCACCGACAAAGCTGCTCATGACCACGTCGCTGGGGATGAGGTCCTCCTTTGACTTGTCTAGCTTCCTCATCAAGGAATAAGGAAGGATGTTGACCATCGCCCCACAGTCAACGAAAACCTTGGATATGGGCACACCCTCTATGTGAGCCGAGATGTACAACGGCTTCAAGTGCCGATATTTATTCGGCTCGTCTCTTGGTATCACCTCGTTAAACGCTACGGCCAACAATTCTTCCTTTGTCTTTGGCCTTAGATCTAACTGCTCCTCGGCCACGTCATCCTCTAGGCCGTTGGTCTGCCCCCCTGGGACTGAAAACTCGGATGGTAGCACCATGACCATGTTGATGCCGACTTCCTCCGGTTCCCGCGGGTTTCCCCTACCGGCTTCTTCTTCGGCCTCAGAGCCGTCCTTGGCGAGGACCGTTTCCTCGATTATCCTGAGAATCCCCTCATATTCCTCATCGAAGATTCCTAAAGCGGGGTCATCTTCAGCCTCGTGCCCGAAAAAAGGATCACCGAAACCTTCGATCATAGGTCTCGCGGACCCCGGGCTACCGGTCGTGGATGCTTTGATCTCAGGGGGGGTCCGAGGCTTCGACCTCCTCCTTGAGGGCCCGTCTAGCCTTTGCCAATGCGTCCCTGGCCGTTAGATAATCGTTTAGGTGGCTTACCCGGCCCTTTTCCTCGGTCGTCAGGCTGAAGACAGTGTCCGCCGGAGTCACAGTAAAGTACTGGCAGAGATATTCTAAATCGCCCCTGCTGAAGGGGATCTTAGCCTCTGATTCGCCGAGGTCAGGCTAGTAACTTGGCAGGCCTCTTGCTCTGGCTTCCCTGTTTGCCTGGTATACGGCCTTAATGGCCGAGTCAGAACTGCTGGTGATAAGGAGCGCTTCCGCCTTTGTGTTCTTGAGGGCCAATTCCACGATTTCACGGTTCTCAGGGGTCATGCCATACATATCCGTGGCCGAATGGTCCTTATGGAATTCCCTGAGAAAGGACAAACCGTTGGCCGAGAAAGGGGGGTCCCTCCCGCGGTAGATGTCGACGACACCTTCGTCTGTTTTCGCCATGTCCTCAAAGGCTTGGTGCTGGCCGTCTTCGCTGTTGAGGGAACAACCGGTTTGGATGATGGCCCGTCTGTAGCCGCCATTTTTCTTTGGCGCTTGAAGCCTTTGGCCTCGGTCGTCTGAATTCTGGCCTACTGAACCTGTCTCTGCATTCTCCTCAGCTGGGTTTTTGTTAGTGGTTCGGCCCTGCCCCCAGGCCGTGCATGATACCAACGGTCATCTTGTATGACCGGTGGTTTGAAAGTTTTCAATGGCCTAGGGGCGGCCTCGTCTT